GGCTGTGATGAGACAATCAGACAGAGGCTAGGGGCTTGGGAGACCCACTCAGAGGAGAGGTGTCCAGGAGGAGAGTGGGTCAGAGGATAGGGACATAGGAGATGGGGTCAGAGGTGGGACAAGCAGAGCAGGGAGGGTGTTGTAGGTAAACCGGCAGAGGACAGGGGATGCAGGTTTGTAAGAAGACGGGGCCTGAGGAGGAAGTGTGTCAGTGACAGGAGGGGGCACAGGGCATAGGTCACAGGATGGGATCAAGGAGGCAGGTACACCTGTAAGAATCACTTTCCTTTACTGACCACCTCTCATGTGCTACACAGCTTCTCCCCTTGACACCCCAGCTTCACAGCCCGTTTTACAGATAGGAGAACAGAGGCCAGGAGGGACAACCACTGGCTTGAAGTCCCGGCCCTGACAGTAGCCACACCATGCTGTGGCTCCAGTCAGTTCTGGCTGACTCCAGATCCCACGCTCCCGACCACTGAGCCATCCTGCTCCAGGTGTCCAGGGCGTGGAGGGGGTCCAGATGTTGGCGGGAGGGTCCCTCAGCACTCGACACCGTAGCGGTCGAAGTGGCGCAGCAGCAGGCCGAGCTGGAGGTGCACGGTGCCACCAGCAGTCGTGTGCAGGCGGTAGCGGTCAGCCCCGCTGTAGATAGTGTCCCCGTGGAGCAGCTGTGGCCCGCCACCCACGAAGGCCCGTGCCAGCTGCTCCCGCCAGCTGCCCAGGGGCCGCCACGTGGGGCAATCCAGCTGGTGGGTGCCCGGGCTGCTGGGCACGTGGCAAAAGCTGTAGCCAGCAAGCTGGCAGCGGCCGAAGCTGTCCTGGGACCACACCTGGAGATGGAGCCGGGGCCAGCCTGTGGGGCAGGAGGGAGCAAGGACAGCAGAGATGGGCATGGCCCAGCCTGGCACAGGCCCAGTTCAGCAGCTCCTGCTTCTGGATCCCACGGTCCTGACACCCACCGGAGACCCCAGCCTGTACCCCCCCCCAACCCGGGTTCTGCCCCAGCCACCTCCTTGGTTTTCCACCTCCTAATCCAACCCCACGTAACAGCCAAAGGGATCTTTCTAAATCCATGTTCCCTTCTGCTCCCTTCCATGGCTCCCAACACCCTCAGTATAACATCCAACCCTCTCAGCCTTCAGGGTCCTTCATATTCGGCCTCCATGACATCCCTCTCTCTGGCCTCCTCTTCCGTGTCCCCATCTCAGGGTAGCCCCACTGCTTTCCCAGTCCCCAGATTAGCACACTGGGTCTTGTCCTGGACAGCCCACGCCCCGTCCTGTACTCCTCCCTGGACTGGGGCCCTCTTGTCTTCTCCAATGCCCCTTCCACCTGGCAGCCAGGAGCATCTTTCTCCCCCTTCCACAGGTTTCCCAGCGTCCTCAGGAATACGGCTCTGCTCCTTGGCCTGATAGTCAAGGCCCTTAGAGACCCAGCCCCATCTCACCCGGCATTCTGAGCCCCTCCTCTGCGCCAAGCCCTGTTCTAGCGGCTGGGGATCCAGCCTGAAGGTGGCAGACAGAAATTCCTGCCCTTTCGAAGCTGACATCTAGACAACCAACAGTCAATATGTAAATTATAGGGTACGTCAGCTGGTGATGAGTGCCTGCAGGAAAATTAAGCAGGGGAGGGAGGGGTGAGGATGTAGTTTTACAAAGGGGTGGTCCAGAAAGGCTTCCCTGAGGTGACATGTGGAAGGTAGTGGGCTACGCAATGCTACACTGGGCACTGAGGGAAGGGGCGTGCCGAGCAGGGGAAACAGCCAATACAAAGGCCCCAAGGTGGGAACGTGCCTGGTGGGGCCAGTGGGACTGGAGTGGAGGGAGAGAGGGAGGAGGTGAGAGCCAAATAGCACAGGGCCCTGTCATCCATGCGTTACGGACTGAACTGTGTCCCCTCAATATATGTCTTGTAAATCCAAGCCTTTATGCCTGGGGTAAAGAGCTCTGGTGGCACAGTGGTTAAGTGCTTGGCTGCTAACCAAAAGGTCCGTGGTTTGAACCCACCAGCCACTCTGCCAGAGAAAGATGAGGCTGTCTGCTTCCATTTAGATTGTTGTTATTAGATTACAGCCTTGGAAACCCTATGGGGCAGTTCTACTCTGCCCTAGGGGTCAATGTGAGTCTGAATGGCAGCGGTTTGGTATGCCTGTGGTTCTAATCCTGTTTTGGAATGTATTGTCTTTGTTACGTTAATGGAACAGATTGGCGGTGTGTGTATTTAGTCAGTCTCTTTTGAGATACAGAAGAGATTAAACAAGCAAGCTAGCAAGCAAAGATGGGGGGACACTGGTGTCAAGCCACATGGAAACTTCTAAGGAACCAGAAAGGGGAAGTTGAAGAGACAAGGACCTTCCCCCAAGGACCTTCCCCCAATGCAGAGAGAGAGAGAGAGAGAGAGAGAGAGAGAGAGAAAAAAAAACCCTTCCACTAGAGCCCAGGCCTAACTCTGGGAAAATAAAATTGTCTGTTAAAGCTGTTGGGTCTCAATACTTCCGTTACAGCAACACTAGAGAACCAGGACATCACGGAGGACTTTGGCGTTTACCCTGAGTGGCATGGGGACCAGGGGAGGGTTCTGAGAAGAGCAGGGACATGATCTGACTTAGGTTTTCACACGGTCCGCGGGCTGCACTCCGGTGGAGCCGGAGGCAAACAGGCAAAGGCTGCTCTAACGGTGCCAGTGAGCTAGCCGGACGGGAGCTGGGGAAGACGGTCTGAGACGTCATGGGATTCACGATGAAGCCACAGCTTGAGCTGACGGAGCTTCTAAGCTGATGGACACAATGCAAGGATGAGACCAGAGCAGGCAAGGATGACAGCAGCACTGGGGGACAGAGTTGCCTGTCTCGCCCTGATGATAAATTCATCATCGTTCACTTGGCAGCCAGAAAGAGCTTTGAAAAGCAAAATGCGGCTTGTCCATTGCGTGCTCTGGCTTTCCAGTGCCTTAAAATGGACTCGGCCCCTCAGCCTGGTATTCAAGGCCCTGCATGGCCGGTCCCCTGCCACCTCACTCCCTGCCACCCTCCCACTCTCCCTCAGTCCTTCAAATGCCCCTGGCTCACTCTCCCTTTCAGCTTTCCATAGCTCTCTCTACGAACTCTCTTCTATCCCTCTGCCTCATTAGCACCTACTGGCCCTTCACATCAATGCTCAAAGGTCCCCTCCTCCAGGAAGTCCTCCCTGATTTCTTCGACAGAGTCAGGCACCTCTTGTGAGCGCTCATGGACCCCTGGGCAACTGCCCGCGCAATACCAGCCTTGTCCATGTGGGCTGTCGCTGTGGGGAGACAGGTCTGGGGCTATATCTCAGTCACTGATATCTTCCTGGCATCACTGAATATAGGCGAGGCACAGGGCAGGCACTTGGTCAGTGTTTATGTTGTTGAAATAAATGGCACATCTGACTAGGCTATTTCCCTGGCCTGGAATCGTGCGCCTCTCCAGTAACCCCAATTTTCCACCAGGGCATGTTTTCTGACACCTCTCCTCCCCCGTGTACTTCTCTCTCCCCTCTGGGCCTCTGCTCTCAAGCTGAGGGCGCCCCCTGAACAGCAGCGGCCCGCCTTCACCTGTCTCTGTCTCTGTCATAAACCCCTCTCCTCACTGGAGGATAAGCTTTCTACTTACTAGAGATTCTCTCCTTCCATCACTTCACTTGGAAACCATCTCCCCTCCCACCCTGGCCCCCACCTTCCCACCTCTGGCTTTGCCCCAGCTCCTCACACTTGGGATCCCCTCACAGCCGGCCTGGGGATGCCTCAGGTCAGCCTCTCCCCAGGGCCAGGCAGGGCTGGGAAAGGGGCCCAAAAAGATACGAGTGCAGGGCCAGGACTTGATGTTCTCATCCCAGCAGTTCGGGTGCCATCAGCCCCCCGCCCCCCAGCCTGGCCCAGGACCCATGCCCGGAACCTACCTTGGAGGCCTTTGGTGGCAAAATGTAGGTCGATGGGGTGGGACCAGTAGGCCGTGTCCCCCACTTGGGGCGTGTCCACCTGCGTTTGGCCCTCCCGCACGCCTGACAGGAGCTTCCACGCCGCCCCTGCGGGGAGAGCCGGGACACTGAGATGGAGCGGGAAGGGCCAATGCCACTAGGGCCGTAGGACCCCATTTCTCTCCAGCATTTGGGGGCAGAGGTTACAAAAAGAGGACTCTGAAATCAAGTCTAGGTTCAAATCTTCACCCCCCTCTGTGACCTTCGGCAAGTTACCTTTCTTGGCCTCAGTCTTCCCATCTGTAAAATGGGTGTTGACGATAAAGCAGCCCTCATAGTTTCATGAGATTAAATGAGCTAACACCAAGCACTGTGGACAGGCACTGTGAGTGCTGGCTATGTTCGGAGGCCTAGGCTAAGGACTAAGCTGAGACCAAGAGTATTCTCCATGGGCGCAGCATAAAGGGTGCGTAGTAACAGCAAAAATGCAGAGTCCTTTCTAAACGCCAAATGCTGTGCTAAGCACTTTAGCTAATGAATTTAATCTGTCCCCTGGGACTCTTACTTTGCACCCTGCCCACCCCACCCCCAGCTCTCAGACGCTCACTGTGGTCCACAGGGCTCTGCGGGCTGGCCCAGGCCCACTTCCCTGCCCTCATCTCCCATCACTCCCCCCTTCCACACCCCTGCTCTAGCCTCACTGGTCCCATTTCTGTTTCCCAACGTGCTGAGCTCCTTCCCACCTCAGGGCCCTTGCACTGGCTGTTCCCGCTGCTCCTGGATCTCCCCGTGACTGGCTCTTTTTCATTCTTCAGGCCTCACTAAGAGCCAATTCCATAGAGGGGCTCTCCCTGACACAATGATCCAAGACTCAGTCCTGATCACAGCATCCTGTTTCTTTTCTTCCCGGCGCTGACCACTCACTCAGTCACTGTGCTCACTTCCCTGTCTGCTTGTTTATCCCTGTGTCCCCTGCTGTGAGCTCCAGAAGAGCAGGGCCTTTATGGATTCCAAAGCCCCATGTTATGGACCAAATTATGTCCCCCCCAAAATAGGTGTTGTAAATCCTAACCTCTAAGGCTGTAGTTATAATCCCATTTGGGCATGGGCTGTCTTTGTTATGTTAATGAAGGGCAGTGTAGGGTTTATTTTGTGTCAATCTCTTTTTCTATATAAAAGAGATTAAACAAGTGCACAGAGCAGAGATGGGAGAAGAGATGCTAAGATACAGAGAGAGCTCTAAGGAACCAGGAAGCAGACGCTGAAGAGACAAGGACCTTCCTCCAGAGTCGACAGAGAGAGAAAGCCTTCCCTAGAGCCGGTGCCCTGAATTCGGGCTTCTAGCCCAACCTGTGAGAAAATAAATTTCTGTTTGTTAAGCCCCTCCACTTGTGGTATTTCTGTGACGGCAGCACTCGATGACTAAGACAGCCCAGCTCTTGGTCCACAGAAGGCCCTCAATAAATACCTGTTGGACAAAGGATCTAAGAGGTAGGTGCTAATATAATCCCAATTTTACGGGTAAAAGAATAGGCTCTGCTAAGGAAAATCACTTGGTCATTCATTCCATGAACATTTACTGAGTGCCTACTATGTGCCAGGCACTTGGGGCAGACCAAGGCTCCACAGAGGAGCTGGATTCAAGGCTCAGCTCTGACTGTGAAGCCCAATTTGACTGCCTCTGAGCTCTCTGCTGGAGCAGCCCCCTGCCCCTAGAACTCCCTTCCTGAAGTCATCAAAGTCACGTTAGTCACCTTCCCTGAACATCGAGTGAGTGAAGCGTCAGGCATCGAGCCAGGATCTTCACATACAAGACTTCTCAACAACTTCATGAAGGATGGGTATCATTCCCACCATACAAACGAGAAAGGAGTTCTGGTGGCACATTGCCTAAGGCATCTGACTGCCAACCAGAAGGTTGACTGTTCAAACCCACCAGCCGCTCCATAGAAGGAAGACTGGGTAAGCTACTTCTATAAAGAGTTACCTCCTTGGAAACCCAATGAGGGTCAGTGAGTCGGATCGCCTCGACAGTAGTGGGTTGGATTTGGTTTGCAGAGATAACTTAGGCGACAGCACCTGCCCAGGGTCACAGAGTAGATGAGTCGCAGGGCCCTCACTGAAATCTGACTCCAGAGACTGTCTCTCAGCCATTCAGCTGGAGGATCCTCATTTCTCAGGGAAACTCAACCAACCCAGCTACCACTGAAATGACAAAGGACCCAGAGCCTAAAGGGATGGCAATGACAACAGCCACATTAATTTCATGGGCCAGGCTACCCACACCAGGCTTTACAAACAGGAACCACATCAAATTCTTCTCAGACCCAGCAAACATTCATTGAGCACTTCCTGCCTGCCAGACCTGGTTCTGAGAGCTGCAGATATTCATTGAGTTCTCCTAACCACCCGATGAGGTAAGTTCTGCTATTGTTCCCATTGTTCAGAGGAAGAAACTGAGGCAAAGAGAAGGACCCGAGGTCATATAATTAATAAGCAACAGCTGGTTTTGAACTGAGACAAGGAATCAGAGGCTCAGAATTCAAGCCCCAAAGCTACCAATTAACAGGTGGAGTCAGGATTTGAACCCAGCTATGATGGCCTTGGAGCTCTGGTGGCATAGTGCCTAAGGCACTTGACTGCTAACCAAAAGGCTGATGGTTCAAACCCACCAGCCACTCCTCGGAAGGAAGGTTGGGCAATCTACTTCTGTAGTGATACTGCCTCAGAAACCCAAGGAGGGGTTGCTATGAGTCGGGGCTGACTTGACTACACGTTAACAACATGATGGCCTGTGGTCCTAACCACTACGCATACTGCCTCAAATGGGGAGGCATCAAAATTGAGGGCCTTGGGGTTCCCTCTAAGCCTGTGTGGATGGGTGTGGATCACTGCCACTTCCGACCTTCTCCAAGAGAACTGTGAATACCAGTGGGCTCTCCTCTATAAATCAAGCATGGAAATTTTCACTCTGCAGCAAGAACTCAATAAACAGAGACAGTTAACCAAAGAATTATTATTAAGTTGGAGAAGAGTCCCAGGGCATCCCTGAGAGTGAAGTCCAAATGGGGGGGGTCTGGGCTGCCTAGAGTTTTGAAAATTGGAAGTGTGGGGCTGTCTAGCGTATAGTCCCACATCTTTAGAAGCTGTGTGTTCATAGGGTGGGAGTCAGAGCCCCCAGGGCTAGAATATGAAGGGAGCTGGACACTCACGTGGACAGGGAGTGTGGTCTGGGCTGAGTCCCCAGAGAGGATGGTGAGGCTCAGGGATTGGATCAGGGGGTCAGGCAGGGAGCATAGGGCCTGTGGGTACAGGGTCTTGGTGGGGAAACAAACAAGACCCAGGAATACCTGTGTGGACGCCCCACTTGCAGAAGAGGCTACTTTCTGAGAAACCGGTGGCCCCCACGATTTGCCCAATCACGTGCACCTCGGCCATGGCCCTGGGAAGGGAAAGATAATAATCACAGCCCTGTGAGGTATTATTTTCTTCATCCGACAGGGAAATTGAGGCCCATTGAGTAAATGGTGGTGCTAGGATTCCAAGCCGAATGTGTCAAACCCCTGAGGCTGCGCTCTTAACCCCGTCTCCCCAGGGAGAACCTGGGGGAAAAAGCGGCTGTTGAGCTGAGTAACTGGAGTCCAATTCCGCCCCACCCCAAAATAATTTACTTCCCCTCCTGCTCTGGTAGCATCGTGCCTAAGGTACTTGACTGCTAACCAGAAGGCTGGCGGTTCAAACCCACCAGCCACTCCTCGGAAGGAAGGTTGGGCAATCTACTTCCTTAGTGATACCGCTTCGGAAACCCAAGGAGGGGTCGCTATGAGTCTGACTCCAAAGCACATAACAGCTGCTCAGTCCAGCGGGAAGTCCCGCCCCAGGCGTCTCAGGCTCCGCCCACAGACGCAAGAAGGCCGCCTTCCAGCGTCAGCTCGGCCTCAAGCTCCACGAGTGGCAAGCCTTGTAATTGCTTCAGCCTTACCTCTCAGAGCAGCGCATGCGTTATTCCGACCTTAGCGCGCCTAACGGTTAAGAACCAGAAAACCAAACCCACTACTGTTGAGTCGATTCCGACTCATAGCGGCGAAAGCGGCACCGGGGATTGTAGTTCTTGAGTCTGACCTGTCCCTCTCTCCGCGGGCGCTGACTTCCCAGGCCTCTCCCAGCACCTTCCGAGCAGCCGGAGATCTGAGAGACCAACCCCTTTGCTGCAGTGCCCGCCTCCGGGATCCCCGGTTGTTGCTAGGGCAACAGCAGTCTCTACCCCTGGCCTAGCACCCGCCCTGCGAGCCGCTAATTGGTGTTAGCCGTCCTCGGTGGGCGGGGCAAGTCTGAGACAGACGTTTTCTCCTCCTTTCTCGTTCGGGTTTGAGAAAACAGCGTCTATCCAGCAGCAGCGAGAGGTTCCGCCATTGGGGGCGTGGGTAGGTAGCTGCCATCTTGAGTGTGTCTGGAATGGTTTGAGCGCCCTTTCTTTCAGAGACCCTCCTAACAAAATAAGCAAATCCATTGAGCACCCCCCATCCAGGACTACAAATTAGAGACTTGAGCCAAGGACGTGGGGGAATCCCACCCCTGACATTGTGTGTGCATCGCCCTGCCTCACAACTGGACAAATCTTTCCTCATTCAGAGAGGTTTCTTCCGTTTTTTAAATTCTCCCTGGCCCCTTGGGAACTGATAAATTAAGTCTCAGTAATAATGCTTACTGCTAAAAATGAGCAAGAGGGGAGAGAGGAATGGTAAATGAGGAACTGATGCCCCATTACATGCAGAAAATTCCATTATTAAAGATTGAACTCTGTTCTGTAGCCCCGCCCATCTACGGATTTTTATTTCATCCGTGTAATGGGCACATGGAGAGTGGTCCAGAATCAAAAGCACTCGTGCAGGCTAAGTTTCAGAGCAATTGCTTTTCCCACCCTATTTCTAAGTCTAATTGAATCTTAGACCCTTGTTTCTTCAGCCCAAATCAGGAGTCCGGCCAGAACTTATTTTCCACTTTTAGCAAAACTGAGTCTTTTGAGTCCCTAACTCAAAATTATGGAGAAGTAGCATTTCGATATAAAATTTACATGAATAAATGCAAAAAGGGTGTGGCATTGTAATCTTCTGACCTCCTCTAACTTCACCAGGGGGAGAATTACCATCAACAGCCCGAGGCTGATATATGAGGCCCAGGTCAGACATGCCTGTACCCTCCAACCTTTCTTTGCAAGGGCCACACAGCACTCTCACACAACACTCATGATTATGGAATTTATTAGGGAAGTAACAATTCAGGATCAGAAACAACTCAGGATACAGTTCTTCAATCAGACAGCTTCTTCTCAGCCATGGCATAGGCACACTTCTTTCTGGCCTCAGCCTCTGCCCTGCTCCAACAGGTGTTATAAAGCTCTTTTGGATTTGCCAATAGGTGCCCAGAGAGGCATCCTACTCTACCAGCAAGTTTCCTGCTTGAAGGCACTCAGTTTTCTCATTCAGTGGGCTGGGCAGCCCACCCTTTGTCTAATGCTAGTCTCTTGGTTCTATTGCCTTGGTCTCTCTTGGTCAAGTAGGTTCAATGCAGGGATCCCGGACCCAAATGATAGGCTCTACTCCTGTTTTTTCTTCCTTCATTGTAGTGAGATGCCCCTTTTGGCCTCTGGGATGGCTCATTTTAACTCTAGAGAGATGGTAAAACTGACCAATCACCATGTTAATGTTCCATACACTTTATTTGCATGGTTGCACCCCCACAAGGGCACCATGTACCTTATTTCTATTATTGGCAAGCTGTACAGTTCCCTTAGTGGGCCATAACTCACTGCTGTCGACTCGGACCCAACTCATAGGAAACCCTCCTTGGGTTTCTGAGGCTGTAAATCTTTACAGAAGTAGATCACCCTGTCTTCCTTCTGCGGAGCAGCAGATGGGTTCGAACCGCTGACCTTCCAGTTAGCAGTCAAGTCCCTTATCCACTAAGCCACCAGAGCTCCTAAAATAATTCGATAGGATACTATTTCATTAATAAACATATATTTAAAGCTACCATTTATTGAGTGCTTCCTGTGTGCTGACCTGTGCTGACTGGTTTACATATGTTATCTCCTTTAATCCTTACATACAACCTACAGGGTATCAGCCCTGTTTGAGAGAGAAAAAAAAAAAAAATTTATTGTGATGTGAGTGAAAGTTTATAGAGCAAATTCATTTTCCGTACAGTAGTTCATACACATTTTGTTTCATGACATTGATTGTAACCCCCCACAATGTAACAGGTCTCTTTCCACTTCCTCCCTGTAGTTACCTCTTCCCTGTGTCCTTTCCCATGCATTTCTGCCCCTGAGCTGTCTCCCTGTGCAAATACTGCCCTTCTGATCTCCCATGATTGATCCCTCTAAGGAGTGTATCTACCTGATGTAAATGTTCACCCTGTCTACTGTTTGGCTGGAAGCCATGGGAGTGAGTTCAATTCCAGACCTGGAGGGTAACTAGGGGCCATAGTCTTGGGAACCTCACCAGTCTCTATTAGACCAGGCCTGGTCTTTTTTTATGATTTTGAGTTTTGTTCCCCATTGTTCTCCCACTCTATCCAGGATCTCCTGCACTGATCCCTTTCTGAATGGTTTGACAGTGGTAGCCGGGCACCATCTAGTTCTTCTGGTCTCATGGTCATATAGGCTGGGGTTCGCATGATCCACTAGTCCCTTGGACTAATTGTTTCCATACGTCTTTGGTTTTCTTCATTCTTCTTTACTCTGGATGAGGAGAGACCCATTATTGCACGTAGATGGCTTTCAAGCTTTCAAAACCCTAGTCTAGGTAAAAATTTCTTGCCTTAAGCCAAATGGATCTGTGTGACTCTGTCACTAAATCTTAGGTTCTTAACCTCTCTGCTATCCTATCTCTTGGATATGGGTCCCCCAATTTGATACTGATTGTGGGTAGGTGTCATCCTAGCCCTACTTTCCCCACCATCTAGACATCAAGTGTTGTCAATGTTCCATCTTAATTTTTTTTTCCAATGGATTCTTTCCCTACTGCTTAATATCTAGTAAATAAGTTGCCCTCAAATTGAGTCCAGCTCATGGCCATCTCCTGTGTGTCAGAGTAGAACTGTGATACACAGGATTTTCAATGGCTGATGTTTTGGAAGTAGATCTCCAGGCCTGTTTTACAAGATGCCATCACCAACTTTGTGGCAGCAGGTGAGGAAATTAAGTGTTTGGACCCCCCCAGGGAGCTCTGGTGGCATAGTGCCTAAGGTACTTGACTGCTAACCAGAAGGCTGGCCGTTCAAACCCACCAACCACTCCTTGGAAGGACGACTGGGCAATCTACTTCCCTAGTAATATCGCCTTGGAAACCCAAGGAGGGGTCGCTATGAGCCGGGTCCGACTTGACGGCACATAACAACAACAACAGGGACTTCTTGATTAATTTTGTTGTTGTTGTTGTTGTTATGTGCCCTCGAGTCGGCCCCGACTCATAGCGACCCCTCCTTGGGCTGCTGAGGCAGTATCACTACGGAAGTAGATTGCCCAAATGAACCTCACAGGTTAACTTCCTAGATGTAAGTCTTGGCTCTACCCCTTCTTGTCTTTTAGCCTCTCAGTACCTCAGTTTCCTCATGTGTAACATGGGAATGAATGATAGTACCCATCTCATTGGGGTATTATAAGGACTTAATGAGGTAATGTACAAACCTGTTCTAAAATATGCCCATAATTCTTTGACACTCCTCCTTCAATGCCAAAAAAAAAAAAAACACTATTGCCATTAAGTCAATTCTGACTCATAGTGACCCCGTTAGGTTTCCAAGGCTGTAAATCTTTATGTAAGTAGATTGCCTCATTGTCCAACTATGGAGCAGCAGGTGGACTTGAACTGCCCACCTTCTGGTTAGCAGCTAAATGCCTTACTTACTATGCCACCAGAGCTCCTTCCTTCCTTCAATGGGTGGAGCCTAGTTTTCCTCCCTTGAGTGTGGGCTGGACTTAGTAATTGGCTTCTAACCAACAGAACATGGTAAAAGTGTTGGTGTGTGACTAACAAGACTAGGTCATAAAAGGAACTGAGGTTTCCTCCTTATATTATTTGCCAGGGCTGCTATAATAAAAGAATACAAAGTGGGTGACTTTGAATAACAACAATTTATTGTCTCACAGTTCTGGAGGCTGGGAGTTTGAGATTAGGATGTGTGTCAGCTGTGTTGATCCCTTTGAGGCTTTGAGGAAGAATCCGTTCCCTGCCTCTCTCCTCGCTCCTGGTAGCTCCCGACATTCCTTGGCTTGCAGCTGTGGGGTCACACTTGTCTGTTCTCTTTTAGAAGGGACATCACTCCAGTGGGACTAGGATCTACCCTACTCCGGTATGACCTCTTATTAAATGATAACATCTTCAAAGACCTTATGCCAAACAAGGTCATGATCAAACAAGGTCATGGCTTAGAAC